TGAAAATGAAGGTCTAAATGATGAATTAAGGAATCTCTGTCTTGGTTTTCCAGAAAATGAAGTTTGCAGTACATGCAGGAAAGGTTTTCATATCTCCAGAGTAATTTTAAATGGGCTTTGCTTTCCTTGATTGCATCACATCAACTTGTCTTTAGTTACATCTCAGGTCAGGCAGGGTAACATCTGTTCTTTGGTTTCACATTATCTGCTCCTACAAACCAGTGAGTTTCCAGCTGCTCCCCTGGGAATGTTATCAGATTTCCAGCTGGACACCTGCTTGTGAGCACTGACATTCAGCCACTTGGGTCACTCTGCCTGTGCTAACTTGGCAGGCATTGCTGCTTTTGTACCTGTTCATTTTCTCACAATATAGAGATATTTCTTCTCATACTGACTTCTGCCTGAGGTGCACACATATTGGTTTGTTTATTTATTGAATTTTCTCTGAGCTGGCCTCTGCACCCTGTGTGATTTGGTCCTTATAAATCATTGTGCTTTATTGTGATATGAGTACGGTAACTTGCAGCCCATGGCAGCTTTGAAAATCCTACTGTCAGATGAAGCAGGTTATTGTATTAGTTCATTAATTCAAACAAAAAGCTCTCTTAGATACACCTTTGCCTATTAGGGTGCTGTTGATTTGGCTGGTAAGAGCCTAGCTGTGTTGTGATAAGGTCCTTCGTCACTTTGCGAGTGACAAAGGAAATAATTTGGAACTGAGATATTTCTGAGTTTTCATTGGAAACAAGTAAAGTAGAGTGGAAATTCTGACATCATCTCCTTTTGCAGCAGTTGTGAACTGACAGCAAGGCCAGCAGCACAGAGCAGAGCTGCAGGAATGCTGTTCCCCACTGAGGCTGGTGTCTGATCATTAAGGAGATGGCACTCAAGGGGCACTGCCACAGCCAGCAGAAATACAAGCTGTCAAACAGATCTTGCTTTCAGCCTGGCCAAGATTTTTCAGTGACTCTGCTTTTCTCATAAAACAGAAGCACTATACGGAAATCAAGTGATTTCATTTCTTATTTCCCTATGTCATTTGACTGAACACATGAGAATTAGTTTTAGTCAAATTAACAAAGATTTAATGCTTCATTCTGCTGTCACCAAAAAAAAAATCTAAGTGCTGGTTAATGTCAAAAAAAACCCCCGTAAAATGCAGAAATTAAGAGGCAACTGAAGCGTGTGGCTCAGTGTGGTCTTCGTGGCATCTCCCATTAAGCTGTTCTGATTTTCAGAGCATTTCTGTGGCAGCATCACAAGGAGACTCAGCTGTGGCTGTGGCACAGCTGGCCAAGGTGTGGGGTATACCAGTACCCGAAGGAAGTCCCTTCCCAAAACCTCTGCATTACACAAACAGAGGCAATAGAGAGGTGTGGTGAGGAAATAAGAGATAGAAACATGGAATAGTAATGCAAGAACTTAGGCTGTGCATTCTAACTGGCAGTCACAGTACACCTGCTGCCTCATCGCTGCTCAGTGTTTTGGAGACAACACATGAAATTGTATAAAATTGCTGGGAGGTCAAGCTGATCATGCTGATGCCTTTTCATCTTCTGAATCTCTGACTCTAATTGCTCCTCTCTTTGGATGTTGTGCAGTTCCAAACCAAGATAATCCATTTCAATGCCCTTTGTGCAATCCCAAGCAAAGGAAAAAAAGTAGGAGTAAAAATCTGTCTCTGTAAAAATCAATGGCAAGGCATGCACTGACTTCAGCAGCACCAGGATTTTTCCCTCAGAGTTTAGTTGAAAGTGAAAAATATTTTTGGAGAAAAATGTGTGAATGCTCAGATTAAAAGACTCAATAACATGCCCAGTTCCTCCAGGTCTGTGGGCTCTGAGACAATTTTTAAATGCAGCTGGCTTTTGGAATGAATTGTTTGCTTTCAGAACTCTAGGTATATTCTGTATTTCCATGTCTTTCTTTCTATCTCTATAGATTTATTAATGAGGTATCTGTATCTATATCTGTCTATCTAGATGTGAAATACTGGGCAGAGGAACATTTTTGCTCATCTACTTGGCTCCAGTTTTTCCTTGTGCAGCTCTCTGCCTCCTCAGTGGGGCTTCCCCCAGAGCTGTGCTTTTAGCCTGTCAAAGAGGGGACATTGCTGCTTTAAAGAACCCACCCTCAAACAGAAACAGGAATTGATAAACTGATCAGAACAATTAGCAATTTTAATGACATCATGTTGATACATCTGCATGTATCACACTGCAGATGACACAAGAAGTCTCGGGATGAGGATGGATCTTTTCATTACTTTGTTGGGTGTGGATTAATCAGTTTCCTACCTTTTCTATTAGGTTGTGGGTTTTCAGGTCTCACCACTCTCTCATGTTTTCCTAATGCCAGTCCTGCCTTCACAATTAGTTGTGTTAATCACCCAGAAAAGATGAGGCATTCTTGCCAAAATAACATATTGCTAATGAAACAGGAAGATGTTTTCTCCTTATGAGTTGTATAAATCGCTGTGATCTCCATGAGCAATGCACAGGAAAGGTTTTCATCCCAGCAGCCTTGGCCAGGACAGTTTGCACAGCGGATGTGCTGCCACCCGCACTGTGGGCACAAACTGGAGCTGGGACACCCACTCTGCAGGGGGCAGTTTGGCCTTCAGCTGGTACTCAGTACAATGCCCACTAAGCCAGAAGTGAGATTCTTTTTGGGCAGGGCAAGAAATGGGTGCACTTGTTCATGTCTGAAGGGACTGAACACGACAGTTTATTCAAAAGGTACTTGGCTTTGAGAGAGACTCGAGACCCAAATCTGGGTTGTGGGGATAACATGATAGTGGAAGATGAGGAGGAGGATGTTGACGAAATATTAAGTGTCCATTACTACTTACTAAAAGGTCTGCAGAGTGCTCTGGAGGGAAAGAGTATTGATGCATTAAAATTTAATAATTAGTTAGTGACCTTTCAGAATTACTTTAAAAAACCTTAAGGAAAAAGTAATAGCTTAGATTAATTTTTTCCTTCTCACAAGACCAAATTAAAATATTAATCTGTTCAGTGAGTAGCAGCATCACAGATGAAAGATCCTAGGTTCCACAGTTTCCATATTTGGGCTGAAAAATTAAATAAGTGCTTCCAAGTCTATTGTGTCAACAAGGATGTTGCAAAATATGAAGAGAAGGGGAAAAAGCTAATTTTGCAAACATAATATAGCTGGCATTAAAACTCTCTCACTCTGCATTTCTGTAACAACTTCTGCCCTTTCATTCTAGTTACCCTGAATGACTGCAAGGCCTTAAAAGCCTATGCACAAACCATCTCCAAATGGTGCACAAAATAACTGAACCTAAAAGCATAGAGGCAGAAATCGCAGAAGTACAGAAGAGAATCTTGGTTTGGTTTTCTTATTATTCCAGTATATTTTTTTCTTAAATTACCTTGGTGACTAAACTGCCCACATCTGTATCTGAAGAGAAGGCACTTTTCATACTTTGCAGAGACTTCTTTTTGAAGCTTCTTCACCAGAACAGAGATTAACTGGAATGTTATCCTGGCACATTCCACCCTGCCACTGAATGAAGCTGGACACTGACTTCCTCCTCCAGAGCACGACTGCTGCATGTGGGATAGAGTGCTGTTTAATAATAATTCTCCTGTGTTGTACAACACTGCAAGGTTTGGCCAGGACACCTGTCAATAACAGTTATTTCTCCTCTGTCAGGTAGGGATGTTCTGAGCTGGTACATTTCTGTTTGCAGTGCAATGCCAGTTCTAGTGATGTTCTTCATTTCAGCCCTGGGGAGCCTCTCAGGAGCTGGGAATCCTTCCAAAGCTGCCATGAACCTCCAAAATGAATTCACACCACCACACAAAATGCAGCCTTTTCTCACTGCATGGGTAATCATGTACTTCTCAGTGTTGGCAAACAGAAAGTGTGCAAAGTTTATTTTGATAGACTATTTACAGCTTCAGTGTTGTGGATGTTGATATACAGACAAATGTTTTTATTGCTCCCAAACATGTACTCCACCAAGGAAGAAAATGACTATAAATTCTTGTAGCTACTTGTTTTTTGCTTTGCTTTGCTTTGCTTTGTTTTGCTTTGTTTTGCTTTGTTTTGCTTTGTTTTATTTTGGCTGTGGTAAATAGCATTTTGCTGCAATTCTATCTGCCAAGGATAATACAAATCTCATTATTAAGTTTGACCAAATGTTTGGGTTAGTATTGATACCTACTGTAATGGAAAACCTGAGGTCAGTTATTTTCCCCCAGCGCTTTTGGAGACTATTTTAGACCAAATGTCGGTATTTTTGCTGCTGTTTTTGCAACATATATGAAGTATTCCATTACACACCCCTCACATTATTTCCCTATTCTGCCTGCGCCGCGCTTGATTTGGCTCACGACTGTTGCAGTGGCTCGGGGAGAGCTGAAAACACGACAAATTGGGCCGAGGGAAGGAGCCAAAGCCTCGCCACGTGCAGCGGCACGCTCATGCCAGCGCGTCCCTCCGGCAGCCGCAGGGATGCGGTCCCTGGCTGCGCGTCCGTCCGTGCGGGCGGCTCGGGGATGCTGCCGGAGCGGCTCGGGATGCTGCCGGAGCGGCTCGGGATGCTCTGCCTGCCCGTGCTCCCGGAGCGCCCGTGCCCTGTGCCCTGCCCTGTGCCCTGTGCCCTGTGCCCTGTGCCCTGTGCCCTGTGCCCTGTGCTGTGCCCTGTGCCCTGTGCCCTGTGCTGTGCCCTGTGCTGTGCCCTGTGCCCTGCCCGCCGAGGATGAGCCGGGTTCCAGCCGGGGATGGGCGCCGCTCACGCCTCCCGCCGCGCCCGGGGGGAGCGGGCAGGGGCTGGGCAGAGGCTGGGCAGGGGCCGGACAGGGGCCGGGCAGGAGCCGGGCAGGGACCGGGCAGCGGGGCCGGGCAGCGGAGCCGGTCCGCGCATCCCCGGCCCGCCCCGCTCCGCCCCGCTCCGCGCCCCGCTGCCCGGGGATTGGGGCTGCCGGGCGGCCGGGGGCGAGGCGGGGCTTGGGCCGCGTTATTTATTTATTTGTTTGGCGGGGCCGTGTTGTTTTCTCGGCGGCGGCGGTCCGCCCGGTACCCCGAGAGCCGCGGGATGCGGCGGGGCCGGCGCGGGCGGGCGGGCCGGGCCGCGGGGGCGGGAGGTGCGCGCCGGCCGCCGGCCCCGGCAGCGCCCAGCGCCCCGCCGGCCGCCAGCCGCTGCCCCTGAGCTGCCCGGGCACAGAGCCGGGCGGGCCATGGGGAGACGGAGAACTTGAGAAAGAGCGAAAGCAGGAACGAGCGGACCTGCGTGTGCGGATGCTCGCAGGGCCGCTCACATCGCCTACAGGATAACTTGGGTGCCGCCGGCTGCTCCCCGCCATGCGGGCACCGGCCGAGTGAAGCGCATCCGCGGCCGGGAGGGCAGCGCTGCCCGAGCCCGGCACGGCCGCGGGGCTGCGGGCACGGCCGCGGGCTGCGGGCACGGCGCTGCCCGCCCGCCTCGGGCAGCTGCGGCTCCGCGCCGACCTCTGAATCAAACTGACTCTATTTGTTGCGAGGAGAGGCTGTTTGCTCACAGCATCATCTGTTTGGAAGAAAGGAGGGAGGAAGGGGGAGGGTTAACGCTAAAGAAGTAAGTCTTCTCTGCGAAGGAAATGCCTTTTGCGCTTTCCAGATGACCTTTTCTGAAAATGTAGTTTCTCCAGCTGACCGGTTCTGATTCTGACTACCAAGTGTGTGAAACTGATCCCTAAGTGCTGCACAAACCGTAGGATGTGTGTTTCCGGGATTAGCAATATGGGGCATCTGTTGTCGCCTCTCCTCTTGAGCCTGGCAGCAATTTTTTCCAAAGGTAAGTCTTAATTTCTTCCGTTTCACCGCATCTTGTTTCTTATTTTGCACAGCCAGCCTTTCTTCCCTCTCTCTGTAGTGCCTTGCGTGCCGATACAATTCAAGACAGACTTGGGGGAAGCCATGTGCTAGTCAAAAACACCGAGGATGTGATGGGAAAGCCTGAGTGGAAGGATCTTTTCTTGGCTGACCATGACAAACAGTCTGGCAGTTTCCTGAGACATCTGTTATCTCCTTTCTGTACTTTTGGTGGGGTAGAAGATGCTGCTGCTGAGCTTAGCTCTGCTTTGGATTACAAAGGGTTTGTGTTATGGAAATCTGAAATCCCCAGAGGGACAAGCTGTTGGACTTGGCTGCCCCACCGTTATCTTCTGTGCCGGTTTTCACATTAAAAATCCTCTATCTCAGACTGACTGGCAGTGTTTTACCGGACCAAAGAAACAGGTACTTAGTGAAACGGTTGTAAGCTTTGATGAGATGCTGTAGCAGGTGGCTGATACCTGCATGCTGAGGAGAGTTGGAATGTCCTGGTGGCATGACTTCACACAACTCAGTGATTCCTTCTTGGAGCCCTCGAGCTTGTTTACAGTTGGAATCAGAAAACCAGCACGCAGGGAGTGCACATATTTTTGTGTGCATTTAAAGCTTCCTCGGAACTTAAAAGTTTCCATCAATGGCCTCAGCCAAAAGGTGAATGCACTTTTGCAATACTTCATTTAGATGATTGTGAGCATTCCTGTGAAATACAAATTAGGAGAAGTATACATTTCTACCGAGCAGATACTGTGCATCAGCAGTTATATTTTGGCAGGAAAATGTAGTTTTCATGTGATTTAGTCTTCAGAGGGGAATCAGAGCATATGCATTTAATCTGTTATTCTGCAAACTTACCGGTAAAGAGTCCTGCTTAAAAATATCCCTATTAAAAATATATTAGTTATTCTTAATGCCCTTTTACACTTACAGAGATCATAATTTTTCTTTTTCCTTAAGTGATTTATTTTTCTAATTAGTTTAGATCCACAGCTGAACTTATTGACAGAAGGTAGAATACATAGCTATGTATATCTGTGGTGCTTCCCTGTATCAAATTCCATTCTCATCCTTTTTTCCTTAGAACAGCTAAAGAAAGGAACAAAATTATAAGTCTTCTGAAATGTTCCGTAAATGAGGTGCCTACATAAGTCCTGTTCTAAAATTGCAATTGGAAATGCATTAGCAGCAGGGATTAGAATTCAGAGTCTTTTCAAGAGATTGCTTCATTCACATTGCACACCAGTAGCTTGTGATTGCCCAGCTAGGTTGTAAATGATGTATTTTATTAGAAGCAATATCATCAGTACTTTGGATAGGCTCACAGTGCAATAAGAGTATGAACTTCATTCCCTGGCTTTTGCTGTGTTCGAGTTTGCTGCCCTAACACTGCATTAACATAGTGCTGGACTGAGATTGCAGTTTATTCTAGGACTGGAATAAATGGCATTTCAGTTATACAAAACACAGCATTTCTTTTACTGCCAACTCAGCAATTATAGCATTTATGTGTGATTTCATGCTGAAATGTTACTTACATCTCTTTTGGAAGATGTATTAGGAAAATCTGCTTCACCAAAGGGGTTGTCAAGCCCTGGCACAGCTTCCTAGGAAAGGTGGAGTCCCTGTCCCTGTAGGGATGCAAGAGGCTGTAGATGTGGTGTAGATGTGCCTGGACGTGGTCAGGGGTGAAGGGAGCAGTGCTGGTTGGCAGTGGCATTCCATGGTCTCGGGGTCTTTCCAGCCTGAGGAATTCTGTGAGTCCCTGAGACCTGGCACACGAGGTGCCCCAGCATCACTGCTGTTAGCTGTGCTGCTGGTCTTGCTGGTCGGGTAGGCAGGACACCACTGCTCTTTAGTGATACAGGTCTGTCTTCAGTGCAATTGTTTGTTTTTTCCTTGGTGACACACTCCATCTGCACTGCTATGCCTTGATACACTGGAAAGACCAGAGTGTTCCAGAGATTGATAGTGTGAACTTCACAGTGTAAAAGGTTGATTCCCACCCCCCTTCACACAGTAAGATGAACAGACAAATAATACATCAGGCATGATTACTACTACAGGGCATGTTTCTTTGATGCTTTTCTGTTGCTAATAGAAAAACCCTCTCATTTATGACACGATGACAAAGTTTTCCTAAAGAGATACAAAAGCTTTTAACATGCAACAGCAATCAGCTGTCTATTGTGTATAGGGCTGCTGCTTATTACTCAGAACCATGGCAACACACCTTGTACTGCACAATTTCCAAATCTTTCAGGTAATAATGTTGAAGACTGGAGAATACTATTGTGATTTTGCTTTGCTTTTATCTTGTAAAATGCAGAGCTCCAGCCTGAGAAATGAAATGTTGTTTTCAATAATGAGCTAAAGATCCTACCAGGCCAACTTGTCAGTGCTGATACAATCCACGTGTGTTAATGCACTGTCGGTCTGACAGTGGATGGGTGTGTAAGGGCAGAGGTGATGATGCTCTGTGGCTGCACTTCTGGGGCTCTGCCATTTCACAGCTTTGTCTTCAGCAGTTTCCTGAGTCAGTCCTAGGAGGCCGATGCTGGCCCTTAGTTCAGCATTTTGCTGTTTGTTATCAAAGGTGGGAAGAAGTTCTTGAGAAAACTTCAGTCAAAAAATAACCAGGTCCAGCTGATGTTAATGAAAACAGACTATATACAACAGGCATGATAATGTCTGTGTTTTGTTCTCTTGTTTAAATGGAAAGTCATCAGCTCCACTGGAATACAATAAAAACTTCAATACTTTATTTGAGCTCCAGGTTCCATGCCTGGCTTAAGTCTAGAATAAAAACAGCATTTCCCATAATATGCCAAACACTTTGGGGATGTACATTGTGAAACTAAAGATTGAGGAGCCTTTTTCGTTATGAATGTCTCCATATAAAACCGGATTTCATTGATTTCAAATTTCAAGTTTAAGCTGACAATAAAAACAATAAAAAGTGAATATATAAAAACAATAAAAAGTGAATATTTTAGTGGTTTGTTCCACTTGTCTTCTGCTGAGCATTTTGTGTTCTTCTGTGTCATCCTGGGCAGAAATCTTCCTGCAACTTGCTCTCTAATGATATCTCAGGCCATAGAGCTGCTGGTTTGATTTTCTTTTTCTTTCAATTTTATTGACATGGAGGCTTGGCAAGTGTGTTAGGCAGGATTTCCTTGTATCCCCTCAGGGTGTTCCCCATAGCTAGAGATGTGCAGAGCTCATGTTCAGTGCTGCAAATCTCCTGTTACAGCAAAGTGAGTGTGGGGAAACAAGGAAACCAAACCCCCAAATGTCTCGTTTTGGTTCATTCCTCTAGAAAAGTGGTAGTATATTAGTAATGGGATATAATTCTGTGTATGGGGTTAAAATCAAAGATTGCTTAATTTATGAGATGTATTTTGTTTCCACTCCTCCCTGGTGGTGGCTAGACAAGAGTTCAGGGTTGAATTACAGTTCACATTGACTGATTGTGATTGTGATGATGAGGGACAGATTCTTATTCTCAAATTTCAGTGCTGGTGTTTCTCGGGGACAGAGCCGTTCCTGGCCTCTGTTGCTCCAGCTGTGCAGTTGCTCTGGATGGAAAATGTGGTGCTTGCTGCTTTCATGTGAGCATAAAAGTAGGTAGGAGCGTTTCCTGTGAGCTCTGCCTATGGCAAAAAAAACCCAAAAATTTTATTTAAAACCCCCAAAATAAATTAAATCTTTCCAGATTTAAGTTCAAGCAGTTTCCTTAAATCCAAAGTTTTTGTGCCTTGTCCCAGCTGCACTGAACTTGAAGTTGTTTGAGACACTATAAAGGGAAGGGGAACGCAATTTTCGCTTTTTCACTCTTGCTGTGTTTCTTGCCACAGAACATTTGTGGGGAAAGCCCTATTCTGATTCCTTTTCTTTCAGTAAAAATAATAAGTTCAGACTAAAAAAAAAATTCTACAGCTAGACCTGTGTTTTATTTTTCAGCTGTAATACTGACTTAATGTGATTTGGTTTCTAATATTTTCCTGTAATGTTCTCATTTTTTACTTCTGTCTTTTCTTTTATTAGTTCCTTAGGACTGGCAGGCTCTGTGACACCAACCAATGTTTTAGATATTAATAAAAGCAGCTTTATTCAATAAAGATCAGTTTTATTTAATAAAGGAGAGAATCAAAAGATAATCTGATTTTTCATGCTGCATTCACATTAAATCAAGCTCCTGAGGTGGTTGTGGATGCCAAGTCTAGTGGCAGTCTCTCGCAGGTCTAGGACACATAAACATGACTGCAGACAGATTGACTGCAGGGAAGCTGAAGAGGCAGCTGAGATTCATCACAGGTTTGGTTTATAAAGTGGTACATTAAATTACTTGATTTTCACCAGTCTTTGTAGTATTGCCTGCTGCATTATTAATGGCAGCTCCAAATGAAGCGGATTTTAAGTAGTTCCAAGACATGTAGATAACACTAATTATCATGAGCAGTTTAAAGTACAGATTTGAGGATGGTAGGCTACTTTGCCCTGGGGTTGAAATGTGGGCAGAGTTATCTGTAGAATGAGGATTGGCCTCTTCACGTCCTTGATTTCTTCTTTTATTGAACAGACTTAATTCCAGTGTAAGGTGTTGGTCTGATGGCCCCACAGAGCCAAGGGATGGAAACTCTTCATCTTCCAAAGCACAGCCTGTGGTGTCAGTGCAGACTTCATTCCCTGCCTCAGCCCTGTGCCTTCTGCAGGCTTCCATTCACACGAATGGAGTTTTCTGGAGTGGGATTTTCAGCCTGCAGCCCACACAGCAGTGGTGATTCACAGAACATCTGAGCAGTGTTGTGGAACCAGTGCCAGAAACCTTCTGCGTGCAAGGGAGGAAAAGCCAGGGAGGAAGTGAAGTAACAAGGCTGCTTTCAGACTGCATCCCAGTTTGTGTCTGGTCAGAAACAAAGCCCTTTGTGACAATAGCAAAAGTGGGCACTGTGTAAGATGCTCTGG